GATGTAGAGAGGGGGATGGGAAGGGGGAATATTCTCGGTTGGTGCTGTATATTTGGTGGCATTTCTTTCATTACGAGAAATTGCGACGGGCAAAATAAAAAAATTTCTTAATTTCGTTTCATTTCATCAGGAACAGCAGCAGGAGCAGCAGCAGCAGGAGCAGCAGGAGCAACAGCAGCTACAAGATTTACAACATACTGAGAGCATAAAATAAAAATCTCTTCTCTTTCTCTTATTTTCTACACATTTCTTTTTTTGTTGTTTTGCTAAAATGCCAGCGGGAGCTACGAGAGGAGGGGAGCGGGCACTGGGACGAGATAAATAAATAAAATAAAAACCTTAGAAATAGAATGAATAAAAATACTCGAACGTACAAAAGGCAGCGCCCAACTGACAATGCTTCGACTTTCCTATTGCTCTCCATCGAGTCCACTGACTGACTGACTGTGTCGCCCCCTTTCGGCCACGCCCCGTTCAAAGTGAAGGCGTTGACAACATTAATAGTTATGGGTGTGGTGCTCCGAGTGGGTGTGCACGTGGGTGTGAGTGGGTGGCTGCCCAAGCCACCCTAGTTCCAATTGGAACGCATATTTCTGCGAATGCAATAAAACGCACATGTGTTTCCAATCGTCCTGGACCTCCTGTGCGTCCTGCGAACTTCTCGTCATAATTTCTATGTGGTTGGCAAATAAATTTGATTTTGAGCGAATTTTCTGAAGATTGACTGACTGTCTATCTGTCTATCTGCCCAATGGACTGACTGACAGTCAGACTGAAGGACTGAAACTTGCTTGGCATGGACGGCATGGGCGGCATGGGCGGCATGCGGCAAGTGGCATGTGGCATGTTCCCCTTGGCAACGACTTGTAGTTAACTCCAGGGATTGCAGCTATAGCCCAGGCAACTGGCATTTTGCTGAGTTCGCCGCTTTCCTCTGCCACTGGCACTGTGCATTGACCCAGCTATTGTGCGAAAGAAAAGACCCCTCGGCCCCTCGACCCCTCGCTCCCTTCGGCTAGTGACGCGTCAATCCACACGAAAAGGAAATTGAAACCGTATTCAAGTAATAATAATTCATACAATGTTATTTTCGTAACACAACACAAGACAATCCATTGGCATTCCGAAAAGGAATTCGATAAAAGCGAAATGAATAATTTAGCTCTATATATAGATAGACATAGAGATAGATAGAGACAAAGAAAGAGAGAGCCAAGTTTCGTATAGAAGAATCAATTGCTTCAATTTCTTATTCATTGTCAGCTCCAGGCTTGGGTATATAGAAATTTGGGCCAAACTTCTTAATTGAAGTTCACTATGCGAGGGCTGCCAATTAAGTTATTCGCTGCTCACATTCACTCGAGTGGAAAATGGTGCCAAAAAAAATCAAGGACAGCGAAGAAATATGAGCTTGGAATAATGATTTATGCCGGCCCTATAGTAATTATTCATATATATATATATTATGATACGGTATATATATATATAAGCTCACACCCACACCATTCCACAGAAAAGGCAACTGAGAGGACAAACATGCCAGAGGCAAGGACAAAAGTCAGAGCTGTTGCTGTTGTACGGTCCTCAGAGGTGTTGCCTACAGGAAAAGCTTCAAATCAGCAAAAAAAGTGTGAGAAAGCAAAGCAAGCCGAGGATTTGGTACACTTCTAGGGCTATTACTTGGTGAATAGATAAAATGAACATAAGGAAACTAAAGCAGATCTTGAGATCTGTCGAGTCATCGTAAAAATATTGTATAGCTTTAGTCCATGGGAAAGGATGTGGAATCTTTTATTTATATTCTCATATGTCTAAAAAGACTCCTAACTCAGAAAGAAATTTATAATTTTTATAAATGCCTAAGAGAATAATTGTTTACTTAAAAAATGTCTTGACTCCATATGATGTGAAGAACTTAACTCAAATTTATTCGTTCAACAAAGTTCAACGTCCTAGCAATACCTTACAGATCTCAAGACAAGGGCTGAATACCCAATGTGAGTGTATAGCAACGAAGCAGAAAAAAATGGAATGAAACTGTCGTGGGTGTGAGGAGAGATAGGGAGAGAGAAATGGAGAGTGGGAAGGAGGTGACATTGGACAGTGGAAGGGAAAGCAAAGCAACTACACATTTAGTGTTTATTTCGCATTTATTGAGGACAGTCGAGGACAGTTTGGGTGTGGGCGGACTGTGAGGGGGTGGGCCTTAGCAATAGAATGAAATCAGCAAGAAATAAATATCCTTGTCGCATATACGCGTTGAACAGGCTGTCATAGCTCCCACACACTGGCTGGCACATACACATACACACACACACACTCACACACAAGGGAACAATATAGGAGTATAAATTGTTTCCAGGTCATTGGTTATCCAGCCACAGAAATACGAAAATGAAATTAAGTACAAAATGAACTAAACCCAAAAATCATATGACATTGATGATTATGATGGAAACGGCAAAGTCGAAGCCAAAGAAAATGGAAGAAGAGGAAGAAGAAGACGGTGCAGCAAACGAATACGAAGTATTAGAAAGCAAGAAGCCAGCCAAAAAAAATGTTCGCTTCATTGATTGAGTAAAGGACCCAGACATCGAGTCGCAGGCAATGGGACTGCCAACTTGTCGGACGAATTGGCCACATTAAAATAAAAGTCAAATATTTTGGCCTTTGCGATTGTTGCTTTCATTGATGCGTGCCGTTTTAATGGTCAAAACATTTCGTCAATCGCAAATCGGCCACGTTTTAAACTACGCCACTTTGTCCCACTAAATGGGGTATGGACAAAAATGTGGGAAATTAACAATAAGCTTCAGATGTGTGTGGAAGGAAGTTGGAGATAATTTGAGAAAATGTAATGTATGAAATGATTGATCAAAGTTACAAAAAATAAAAAATTATTTCATTGAAAAATATTTTTTAAAAATCATTCTATTTCTTATTAATGTAAAAACATTATTCAATTTAAAATATAAAAAAAATTCATGAATTAGAAGTATATTATATTAAATGGTATTTTATAATTCTATTATTTTATTTATATTATATTAATCAAAAGATATCTTAGAAATTAAAAATACTTGCCGGTATTGAAAATGTATTTAAAAGTAAACAGTAATGCTTAAAGGTACGGAAATATTTCATTCTTTTAGTTTGTTATAGATCTTAAAATGAATACCTCATACATCACTTTCTGTTTTATATTTCGTTTCATTAAAAATCTATAAACTAGTTCTTGTTAACACAATTTTATGAAATATCATCGCCTTTTGTTAAAAGACAAACTCTAGTAATTAGTCTAAATGTGCTCTACGTTAGGGGGATAATAAATCATAATTAATAAAGTATTTAATTCCCTATCAATTATAGTAATGGCTCAGCTAAATATGAATCATTCTCATTTGACTTGGGAAAATAGAAATTTTATCTTATATCTCCCATTGAGAAACGTAGTTAAGTAGTTCGTTTATTGATATTAAACGATAATTTTTTTTATTTAATTGCTTATAAGGAACGAGAAAAAATAATAATTTTGTAATTATAATATAGGTTAGGCAGCTATGTCCTCATAAATTCCTTTGGCATAATAAATCTCAATCGATAAAGTATTTTATTTCTTATCAATTATAGAAATTGCTTAGAGTTAACTTTTGCTCTTTAGTCACCCGCTGAGAGGTGGCAGGGGGAGTTAAGTAATGCCAGTTAATACATATTTATTTATGTTACTCAACATTTGAATAAAGTGTTTGCTCTTAATAAACCCATTTCGCTAAGCACTTTGTCAGCCTGGCGGAGAAAGTGGACGGTGGGTAGGGCGAAAGGGAGGAGGGGGCGAGGGATGCAGTGGGTGGTTGAGGGTTGCCTGCTGAGTGTGGCGTACATTTTGGATATTCAACTGTTTCCGTTTGTGCTTAACGTCGTACCGCTCACAATACAAAACGCAGGATTCCGTAGAAGTAGCTTCTCCTCCTCCTCCTCCTGCTCTCTCTCTCATCCATTCGGCACCCCTCAGCTCCTATGCCACCCCAGTTCTATGTCTTAGCCGCACGCATTTGCCGTTTTTACTGTTATTTCAGCATTAAAAGTTCAGTCGAGTGGCAAAGGAAGTGAAAACAATTATCTGCAGGAAGGTGAAACATAAATCCTCGAATCCAAAAGTAAATTGCAAATTTCGTTTTATTACACTCGATGGGTGCGGCCGCCCCACAGGAGGCGCTGCGGTTAAATCGAATCGATATTTTATGTTATCGAATTTATTATGCAAACACACTCAACGCTAATGCCAATTGGTGTTGAGTTGCCAAAAAATGACACACGCGCCAGCCTTCGCATATGCTCCAAGAGCTCAGCCACCCTCAACCTTGAGCCTCTCCTCTCTCGCCTCTCGCTCCTTCGCCCATCGAGTGGGAGACCAGCTGCATTGGGCTCGAGCTCAGATCCTTGAGCGGGCTGACAGGCATCATTTTGAGGGATTGTATAAACAAGCAATTTGAGGGCATGGCACAGCACCAGGTAGGTTTGTGGCGTACTCTGTTTAGCATTAAGTGCGATTATGGCCATTCGCATTGATGATGTTTATGGCTTCTGGCTCATTTATCAAGCGAAATGATGACAAAATGCTTTCATCTGCTGCATACAGTCGGCCATTATCACATAGGCTACATAATTGCCAAAGGCAATGCCAAATGCCTAAAATATTAATTAATTTCCCATTTCCAGGTGAAACGCAGTGGAGTCGAGCATAAAAATTGGGTATTTATTTATGCTGAGGCAGTCAGTGTATAGGAAAAGCGAATGAAATGTTAATATGATGCTGAGTGCTAGGGGATTGAAATGGAAAAAGAATACATATGTTTATGTAATACATGCGTGTTAACGGGGAAATTATTCATCTAATTAAATGTTATTTTCCAACTATTATATATAATTATTTTATTTATTTTAAATGGTACTAAATATGAAAGGGAAAGTTTATGTATATAACATTGTAATTCAAGCTCTTATTTTATTTATTATTAAATACCTAGAACTTGGTGTATAGAAAAATGGCCACAATTAGGCCGTATAGGCCGAGCACTTCGGCAAAGATCAGTATGAGCACCATGGCAACAAATAGGCGTGGCTGCCTGGCTGATGCGCGTGAACAGGTATTCCCAACAATGCCAATGGCCATGCCCGCGGAGAGACCAGAAAGTCCGACACAGAGTCCAGCGCCCAGCTGGGCTTGCGCCTTTTGTATGGAGTATGAACCATCTATCGAGCCGGCTATGAGGACAGCTACAACCAAGCCATAGATGGCTATAATGCCAGCCATGACCACCGGTATGATGGCCTTCATAATAAGCTCCGGCTTGATCAGGGCCATTTCGGCAATGCCTCTTCCTGACATCGCTGTGCCATACGAAGCGCCCAGGGATGAGAAAATAATGGCCGTTGCAGATCCCAAAGCCCCAAAAAAAATTGCATAGCTTGGGTTGTCATTGTCAGCCGCGGCGGACATGTTCCTTCTGCTGTTACCTCTTCGATTGTTTCGATTGGATTGCTAAAAAGATGCTTCCTTTTCTGAATCTGAAAGAATTACTAGATTACAGGATTGCAACTAGTTTGGCTATGATGAATTTCGATAAGCCTATTTGGGTTTGAGAGCGAGAGAGAATTCATTTCATATAATAGATCATACTATCATACTATCATACTATCATACTATCATACTATCATACTATCATACTATCATACTATC